CACAAACTTTACACGCACACAAACTTTTTCAACACTAAAAATGGTATCGCGAAGGAACAACAACAGAAAAAGTGCCCGTATTACTAATAAAAGCCGTCGTTCATGGAGTGCCAGGGAAAAACTCATGGTTATCAGTTATTATGAGAATGTTAAAAATATGAGAGCAACCGCAAGACGATTTGAAATCGAGCCAAAACAAGTTCGTGAGTGGCTAGACAAAAAATATGAACTTATGAGTGCCACTCCTTACCTTTTAACGCTTAACTCTGGTCGCTGGGCCCAGTTCCCATTATTAAAAGAAAGACTTGTTAAGTGGATTAATGAATATCGCAATGAGCAGTATGCTGTTACCCAAAACATGGTTGTAAAAAGGCCAAAACATTAGCCAAAACTAATGAATTTAAAAATACATACCCTGATATTGGCAGCTTCAAATTTTCTAAAAGCTGGTTGTGTCGGTTCTTGTACCACCATAATTTTTCAAATCGTAAACGTACGATGGTTTTCCAGCACCTCCCAGCCAACCTTGAGGAAAAACAAAGTGAATTCTTAAGTTTCATTTTGTTTAAATGCTGGGAATATGACTTTCCTCTTAGGTATATTGGAAACATGAACGAAACGCCCTTTTCATTCGATATGCCTAGCCCTGTTACTATTGAAAAATGCAGATCTAAGACAGTAGGTATCAGAACTACCGGGCACGAAAGAACAAATTTTACTGTAATTCTTGGGTGCCTTGCCGATGGCGTGAAACTTCTGCCCATATGCATTTTTAAACTGAAGACCGTCCCCCGTAAAGTGTTTCTCCAGGGCGTTATTATAAGAGTAAATGAAAAAGGATGGTGTAATGAGAATAAGATGCATTTTTGAATCGATAATGTTTAGAGCAGACGTAGTGAGCTGGTAAAACCGCAGTCTCTTCTTGTTTTAGATTCCTTTAGAGGTTATATAGTAGATTCCATTAAATACTAGTTCAAAGAAAATAACACCCACCTTGCAGTCATTCTCAGAGGATTGATCAGTAGGCTACAGCCTCTAGATGTCACCATGAATAAGAGTTTCAAGAGTAAGGTTCATACATCAAGATGCTTTGATCTGTTTTGAGTTACAAAAATATTAACATATTTAATTTTTTAGGTATGACATCGCTATGAAGAATGGATGGCTAACACAATTCATCAATTGACGCCGGCTGGACGTCTACGAAAGCCATCATATGCTACTCTTGCACAATGGGTAATGAATTCATGAGACGAGGTTGACCCTCGCTTAATCGTAAATTCATTCAAGTGTTGTGGTGTTTCGGTCAAGATGGATGGGACGGAAGATGACTTGGTCTTCGACTATGAATCGTTGAGTGAGAATTTGGCGGACGAAAATGATGAGAATTCCGAAATAGTGGGTCTTGATATTAATAGTGAAGAATACGAAGAAGTTGATGGCATTAATAATATTTGGGAATAATTACAGAATTTTAGATTCTTTGTTAGATTTTGTTTTAGATTTTTTTTGTCAAATTTTTAGATTTTTTTTGTTTTTGCTTTGTTGCATTTATCGATTTTAGATAATAAAGTTTGAGCATTTTATAATTGAATCGAGTCT